GCTTGAATGTATGTAGAATTGGACTTAACTGATTTAGATTTAACTGATCTGTCAAACTTCTGTCCCAAATCCCTTTCCAACACAAGCTAGGCCTCAATTTTCCTGCATCCCAGCATGCATTTCAGTTCCTGTTAACCAAAACCTCTCACAGATCGGGCAGGCTAACCTCTGCCCCAGCTTGCCTGTTTCAGCCCAGGAGGGAAGCCCTGCCCCCAGCTGTCACAGAGCGGAGGCAGCCTCCCCATCCCCACTGGCAGTAGTAGAGGGGTGGGCAAGGGTGGGGAATGGACCCCCACCCTAGTCCCAGCTCTTCCCAGTTGGGATCTGCACAGCATGGGTGGTGGAGGACTGACAGGCAGGGGGAAGGGACTGGGATGCTTGGACCTTGGCAGACCTACACTATGGGAATGAAAGGCCTCACCTAGGGGTTTCTTTTCTCCCCCACCTCTTCTGCAGACCCCACCTGGTGTGCTGGGGTGGGGGTGCATTCCCCTCCCCACCTGCCTGCCCCCCCCACGGCTAACGGTCAGAAGGGCTGATGAGGGGGTGGAGCTGGGGTGATTGCAACCCAATGGAACCATGTGCAGGAAGCCCCTGCCTTGGGGGCTTTCCTTCCCATCTACTGTGCAGACCCCAGCTGGGGAACCAGAGTGGGGATCCATCTCCTCCAGGACCCACCTCCTCTGGCTGATGTATGGGGGACTGGCAAGGGGGTGGAACTAGGGAGATTGCTGCCTGACGCAGCTGGGAGGTGTGTGTGAATACCACCTTTGGGCAGTGCAGGCATCTGCCTGTCTTGGCCAAGCATGTGTATTCTGTTTGATAATGGTCCTATCTATCCAGCTTAGAGAAAACTGCATAGATTGATTCAATTGACCCTCAGACTTTTTGACTGTCCGTACTTAGCCATAGTGTCTTGGGAGAAGATGCCCCTAAGGTTTTGAATAATATCCTCTGAAATTCTGAGCCCTAATGAAGACTGACAACATAATACTGTGTTGATTAATGAGTTACATGATATTTGTACCCAGATCTGAATGGGAAAAGAGAGCTTGCCTATCTCTCTATATGCTCCTGCCAGTGTCCGTATTGCAACTGTTGAGAAAACAAGTTCTCATTGGCAGGCATTTCCTGGGTCTCCACATTTGGTAACTCTGTGGCAGCATTTAGGGATGTGGGTTCAGAGAGTAGTTTTCCTGGGTTTTAGAACTTTGTCTCATCACGTGTTACCCTTAAATTCAGAAGTTAATATCAAACATGCAATATGACATTCTGGAATTAGTCTATACTAAGAAAACCAGGAAAACAGGCAGGCCAGCAAAAAATTCACAGGGCTACCTATTAGGGTAATGCAAAGCAGGCCCTATTTGATTCAGATTCAACCTCAAGCAGGGACAGTGATTTGATTCGTTGATTCAGATCACTATCCCTGATTCGGCTCAACAGAATCTGGATCTGAAGATTCGATGCTGATTCAGAGAATCAGTGATTCAGACATAGACACAGCTTTAAAAGTTTTTTCTACATACCTCAAGGCTCATGATCACTGAGATGCTGGAGCACATGAAGCATCAAACAGGAGTGTGGGGGGGCCCTTCACATGCTCTGCGGCAAAACCAGAAGTGGACCAGAAGTACTTCTGGTCCACCTCCGGGTCTTCCGGGGAGCACGCTGCCCCCCACCCCCGTGCTTCCCTGGCTTGGTGATTGGGTGTGGGGGATCCCTGGGTGCCCCTACAGATCCAGGAGGCACCAGTTGATGAGCCTGGAGGTTGGGGGTGGGGCTTCTGTGCGTTCCCTGGTTCCCTGGAGGACCCAGAAGTGGACCGGAAATGCTTCCGGTCCACTTCTGGGACTGCTGCTGAGTGCGCTGGGGAGCCCTCCATGCTCCTGTGAGATACTCCATGCACCCTAGCATTGCAGCATTCACAAGCCCCTGCCACCTAAAGGTATGTAGAAAAAACATTTAAAGCTGTGTCTATCTCTGAATCTTTCCGACTCTCTGCAAATTGATTTGGAGGGTTCTGATTCCATTTGGAGAGATTAAAGTATCCTCTGATTTGATTTGTATTTGGAGATTCAGCCACTGGAATGGGCCGAATCTCTGCCAAATTGAATCAAGGACCAAAGCTTCACACAGCCCTACTACCCATCTTTTTATTTTTTTTAATTACCTCTTTCCCAGCCCAGCGAGGAATCACTCCTCCTTTTTTATATCTTTCCAAACTCCCTGTGGCTCTTCTCCTGTAACTGCTGGTGCCTCTTGTTGATTCACATCTTCATCTGTCCAAATTCAAATAGGAGCAGCAAGGAACAAAGCTGTACAATTAGTCTTTGTCACCCTGACTTCACTGCTATTCACTCAGGAAGATGAGCTGATGGACAGTGCTTGCCAATATATGTAGTAGAATTAACTGCCAAAAGGTTTCAGTATGCCATATTGTACTGACTGATTTCATGCCCTGCAGTTAGAGGCAATGCATGGTGACACAAAATCTTAGAACTGTCTGGAGAACTGCAATCTGTATCAGCTAAATGTATATTTTAAAGAAGTAAAATAATGATTGTTTATCAGTTAGGAGGCTTTGAGTTTAGAGATCTTATTTTTGGAATTTCAACTCTTTCCTCCACATGTAAGTGGGGCAGAATAGTATACCATTTTTTCATTTTGTGAATACAGTATTAAGATGAAAGTTTCAATACATAGTGTAAAGGTCAAGGTATAAGCACTAGCCCTTATTTATTGACAGCATTTCTATTTTGTTTATATAGTAAGCCATTCACATTGCATATGAAAAGGGCAAAATGTGCATGATTTTGATCTGTTCTTAGCACATATAGTCTTCCTGAATCACCAATAACAGGATTTATAACATTGGTTTTGTTCTAAACATGTCAGTAATGTGAGTGTAGCCCACTGATCGTTCTAATTAGGTCTATTTGGTATAAGATTCAAAAGATATACCCATAATGACAAGTTATTTTAGCACGCTGTCACAATGCCATCTTTCAGAGACCGTGGGATTATATGTATATGTTTGTCTTTGGAATTTTAAAATATATTAAAGGTGGAAGCAAGAGTTGTGTTTCCCATTGGAAAGATATTGTTTTTCAAGTGTATAAAACTTCCAATTCTAGCCCTAATGGATATAAAGTTATCAGACCTTAGACATATTTATCTTGGGCTTCAAGCTGTATAAGTTTGTGGGGAAATTGTTACGTCTGAAGAAAAAGATATGCTTGGTTTGTTTTCTTTTTAGCAGCAGGTGTTTTAAATGTTAGAGTTCCAGTGGGGAAAGGTAGATAGAAAGCAGGTGATTTAGTAGAAATGCAGAATAAATGCAATTTATCGCATTGAACTGATTTTTTTCACATGGATATGACAGTCATGTATGTGGTGTACAGTTGTTTGTATATTTGCATAAGTCTCAAAAGCAGGAAAAAAGATAATAAGAAGGAACAGTCTTGGATTCTCTATACATTTTATACATATGTGTAAGTAATGTTTGTGTTTGTTGTGGATGTATACAAATCTTTAACATCTTGCATGTCCTCTGTTTACTATTCTATCCAAAATACACATGTAATCACATGGACAATTTTGTTGCTGTTTCCCAAGCTAACCTGGTGAGGTTACTTACACAGGATTTTTGACTATTTGGCAGAAATAGCATTGTCCCAGTAAAGATATAAGAAAGACAAGTTATGGAACTTTTCAATAAGTAAATTTTGGACCCTAATTTAAATATTTATTTTGTAACTATCTTTTTTGTTTTAGACAGTGATGTAAATTCCTATCAATAAAGAATAAAGTTAATGTTGCATTAATGTTTTTCATTAATGTTTAGTTATTTTTTATAATTTATTTCTAGTTCAAAATGAATCCAGTTTGTTTTTTCTGTTGTGCAGGAGTTTCTTATACATTTTGTGCATGTTGGCAATATTTCTTGGTACTCCTGGCAGCAATCCTCTGAAGCATGCCCTGCCAAACCATTCTTGCTCGACATACATCAGACCCAGAAATGAGGAGGTGGACCTGCCCTTACCGTGCTCCACCCCTCTCCACCTCTAACCCCCCCCCCCCCCCCCATCCCCCCACAAACCCCCCTACCCCCCCCCCCCCTGCATCCCCCAACAAGTTACTCTAAAGTAGAAGTGCCTGACCTGTGATATTCATGCCAGATGTAGCATGGACAGTCTCTCTGTGTGGTAGGTGCCAGACTGGGGTGGGACAGACAGTACAGCAGCAGATAAGGCAGGGAGAAGAAAGCAAAGCAGCAGATTGAGCTGGGAAAGGGACCAGAGTGGCACTCGAGGACTGTGCAAGGCTGTAACATGTAACAGGTGCTGGGCATGTCAGCAACTCTAAGAAGGGCGAAAGGCTCTGGAAGGAGCAGGACAGTTTGAATGGTAACATCTGTGAAGTTTGGGTGTGGTGTAAGGGTTGGTCAGAGCCATGTAATTAACTCTCAAGGCACTGAGTAGCGACACCTGAATGGCATCATAAGATCCCTGGGGCAGCCTCTCTTTCTAAGGATCTAATAGCAACAAGTTATGGCAGGTGGGATGAAAGGAAGCAAGCCTGAGAAGTGAGGGCACAGACAAGGCCAAGCAGCCACCATGGGTTGTCACAACTGCCCCTGGGACCAGCACCTGTTACAGTAGTTGCCCCCCAACCTCACCCCCCCCCCACTTCTCTAGAGATCTCTTTTGTTCTTGAGAGCAGTGGCAGGAGGTATTCTTTGGCATGTCTTCATGTCCTCATGAAGGCCTTTTGGTTGCAGTACGAGTGAATGAGCAGGGCATTTTCAAGATTGGTGTCCTCAGGAGTGCTGGAAAAGCAGTGTAGATATTTTATGAAGTGTTAAAGTATATAATTGAAATATGCTTCTTTCTCTCTTGATAATTTCCTCCTCCCCATTTCCTAACAGGTTGCTGAAAGAAATGAAAATATAATAGTTGGTTGATCTTGAGCATTTACATTCTGATTTTCAATTACAGCTCACTGCTGTAGATGCAGACGAAGGGCCAAATGGGCAGATCACATATGAAATCCTGGCTGGAGCTCAGGGAGACTTCATCATCAATGACCAAACAGGCCTTATCACCATTACCCCAGGAGTTGTACTGTCAGTGGGGCAATCATATGCTCTCACTGTCAGAGCATCTGATAATGCTCCTCCTTCAGAAAGAAGGTAATTCATTTAAAAACAAAATCTTTTAAACTTGTGTTTAAGAAAAGAGGCGCACACTTATTTTCAAAAATCTAAATCAAAGCAGATGCACAAGAAGATGTGGCTTCAATGTACCATATTAACTCAGATACAAGATGAGATTTTTTTCCCTCCAGTCAGCATGGTGGTGGGGGGGAAGCCCCTTGTCTTACATTCACATACAAGGAAACCTCAGAAAATATCATTATCTATTGTTAAATGATTGCCAAAAACAGCATGTAATCAGGACTGGAAACCAACTATGAAGTTGATTAAAATGTAGCCAAAATTGAACATGACTATAAAACACATGGCCCCTATTGGGCAAACATACTGATGGGAACCTACCACAAGGTTAGGTTAGTGCAGCCCATCTGAATAAGATATATGGTGGTGCTCATTGTGTGCAGCACCCCTCAGTGCTGTTTTTCAAGTCGTGGAGAGCCACTACACTGAATATGTTTAGAATTCTTCTTCATCCCTACAGCTGCATTAGATCTTTCTTTCCTATTTCCAATATTCCTATTTCTTCACTACCCTTAAATGTCTGGCAAGCATCACCCAACAGGAACCCAAACAGTTTACCCAGAATCTTTCTGTTGTCCCCTCTCTCAGCCTGTCGCATATGTCTAGTGTGGCCCATCCTCCATGAGGTGGAGCCAAACCAGGTTGCCTTGTGCCTCATCTACAGTTAAATTTTTGAAGGATTCCAGGACTCATGACAAGAACATGCAGTTCCAGTGATGACTAGGGGCCTAATTAGCATGCGGACGTTTTGTATATAGGGGGTGGGGGGGCGGAGGCAGGTAATTAGGAATACACACACATACTTAGCAGTGCTGAGTTGTGAGGTCACCATGGGAGGTCACACTGTTGATTCTGCTGGGGCACAGCCCAATGAACTATATGGTAAATCAAGAGCCTTTTGGCTTTAGGCTAATATCGTGCATCATTTGTACTATATATAAATAGTTACTAAAGAGCTACTTAAAATTGTGCTTATGGAGTATCTGAGCTAAAATTTGCAGTAGTTTCAAAGGAGATAAACTGCATCAGTTTTGGATGAACTAAGTCTATGGGTTCCCATAATAATTTCCCTATATGTAAATGATTACACCTATGTTTATTTAAAGGTAATTGTTTTCAAATTTGCCTCTAATGTCCACGTGCTCAGGAAGAGTAGGATCTGACAGTAAGAAGGAGGGAAAGCGTCTTCAGGGAGAAAAAGCTGGGGGGGTGGGGGCAAAGGTATAATTTTCCATATAAATAATCTAATTATTGGGAGTTACCTTATATTCAGGTTTGTCTTATATTTGAGTAAATATGGTATTTTGTTTTGTGCAGTGAACCCATTTTGGTTCTTTTGATAAGTATGATATTAGAAATTAGTGTAATGCATTCATTTTTATCCCTTATTTACATGTTGTCTGTAGCACAGGCTTTTCCTTCTTTAGGTCACTTGGAATGTTTTTGTTGTTGTTTTTCTTTTGTTCTTTTAAATACATGATTACATATTCAGTTTTATCTGTGTATTTTTTTCATGCAATTAATTGAAATTGAGAGAGTAGATGGAATAAAACAAATAAAGAAGGATATAGGTGTTAGTGGCTCTTTACAAGGGTTGCTCTGATGCAGAAATGATTAATAACAGACTGATCCTGTTCTTGAGACAGCCTTCTGTCCAGGTGACAAAGAATTATGGCATGATGTTCTTTCAGAGTTGGCACATTTTGGAATATAAATAGCAAGCTGTGCAAATAGTAAAGTGTATTCCACTAAAATCTAAATTCAAACCTGCTGTACTATCAGTTTGCTCTGTTTGGATTTTAGCAGGGCTTTCACTACTTTAATTATATCTAGTTTTGCTTCCCTCCTTTTGTTTCTTAGTTTCTTTGTACAGGCAAAACATGTTATTCTTTCACTACCATGTAGAGAAATACAATAAGATGGCTGAGATGACACGTTCTGGCTGCAGTGCCTTGTTGCACTGATAATGTGACAAGTTCATTTCATTGACGGCAATGGGGAAATGGTAGCCTCATTTAATGGCACCTCTGTAATGCTTTTCAGATCCATAAAGAGGGAATTCAATAGAGGAGGAAAGGGTCATCATATAAGGTAGAATGTAAATGGATTCCCCACCTCCCTCACTACAGACATCTCAAATCCCAGTTGTCTTGTCAGATGTATGAGAAATTAGCACACCATGATGGCTAAATTATGCAGAAACATTTGCTATTACTGTTTCATTATTATATTTTAATTTTATTCTAATCCATTCAGGTTCTGAAAACATGTATTCTTACCATTATTTTAACCTTTCCTTCCCTCTTATAATTTGTTTTCACTGTTAGTAAGTCCAAATGTTAATAGGTCCCTGAAGAAATTCTTTTTCTGTTATATAGCTGGGGATGAATTCTGTTCTATTGCAGAGGCTGTTTATTACTGACCACGTGAAAAGTAAAAACAGTTCCCATTTCTTGTGGTTCCTTGCAGCCTGCTTCATTTTTTTTGTTCTGAATCTACAACAAAAATATTTTTACATAAATGTTAGCAGCTTAATGGGAAATCATGCTCTAACCAAGATTTGCAGAAGTGATTTGAGGTGCCTCAATTTACGTGTGTCCATCACGAGACATAAAAAAAGAGATTGACTTTTCAGAGCATGAATGTTAGCACTGTATGTGAATGAGGGCCCCTCTACATGTGTAGGTAAAGTCATGATGGGATCTAATGCATGATCCACACAGTTGTGCCTCCTGCCGCACTCAGGCTCCTTCCCAAGTCTGGGAAACTGCAGCTGCCTTGATCTCCCAGCTGCAGGGGTGCATCCAATCAGTTGATGGGCCTCCCAGCCGCATAATATCTGTAGAGTTATTAGTCATTTGAAAATCTTGTCCACTCTGTGAATATCCATTCTAAAGGACAGGCAGATGGCAGGCAATCATAGAAGTATCGTGGGAATGATTTTGCTAACTCAGAATCAAGTTACTCATGCATACTAAGGAAGTTATTGGCTGTACCCAATAGAATCTTTAGATAAATATCTTAATTTCTACAAATGATAATTCCACGGTTGCTTCAATAGGTAACAATCCTGTTTTCTTGCACTACATTACATACTTTGAGTATGTTGCAATAAGTACTGCTTCATGTATTTGAGGAATAAGCTAAGGAATAACTAACTTATTATGGGGTACTGTCATGGCTACATTCTTTTCTCAGTAAGTATGAGGTGATATGCATAAAACAGGATATACATTACTTAGGGTACAATGCAATATTGAACTGTGCATGGATTCTCTCTTTGTTTTTATGTAGCCTAAACATAACTGTAAGGGAGATGGTGCGGGGGGTGGGAATCTTTTTAGATCAGGGTTTAAATTTAATTTTTGCAAACTTCCCTGAGAATCTAGTAGTAAAATCACTTAGGATCTGGAAAACCTATATGCCCTTAATGATCGGGACCTTAATTTTTTGCACAATAACACAAAAAATGAAGAAGATTTTATCTGTGGGATGTGTACAATTCCACGCGCATGGTTTATCACACATTCTTAATGCCATCATTCAAATAACGATTCTCTCAATTCTTGCTGTCGAAATTTCAGACAGAATGCTATCACGTGTATAAAACATTATTATACATTTTATCTGAAAGGAAATGATTCGCAGTATAAATGAGAACATAGTAAAAATCAGAACAATTAGGGTCAGAATAGTAATGTTGTGTATAATACATTTGATTATTATAAAGCCAGTTACAGATTTTAGTAGACTGGGAATCATTGGGGGGGGAGCACAGACCTCCAGTACACCCTCTTTCACTTGTATAATAAAGCAAAGAGACACTAACCTAGATATCAAAGGGAAATGTGACTCTGGGAGCTTTTCCTAATTTCCTGAGGAAGCTTACCAGAACCTCTTTGCTCAAATCTAGGAATTATGTCCTTTACTGACTGGCTTGTGTATTTTTTTTTTCCTTTATGAGCCCTGACCATGGAAGAGATGAAGAACATTAAAACTATTTATTTTTAAAAGTAATCTTATATTGAGATCTCTTTTAAACATTTTAACTATCAGGGATACAAACTGTTATATAATGCTGATAACTGACTTATAATGCTATAAATGACATATAATTCTGATTTTTACATAACTCTAATGACTCCAGTAAACAGAAAATCTTAAAAAAGGAACAATCCTGTTAATGCTTTTGAAAGATTTTTAGCTGATTTGATTCCATGGTGAAAGGCCAGAGATGAATTCCTGTTTCCATTGAAATTAGTAGCATAGGTACAAAGTTTCTTCCTTGAAAATCACTGAGAAGTTTGACAGATTTTTCCTGTAGTTAGCATGGGGTATTTTATGATCACTATAAATGGAAAACATAAAAAATAAAGGTTGGAGTGTAACCAATAACCTGTACCAATAGATGTTCCAATTATACCGTTGGTCCAGTAAAAGATAGCCCAAAGAATGCTTGCTTCTCCTACAGTTTGTGAACCATTATTGCTAAAACACTCCAAACCTACATAAAAAGTAAAGCAACCCTTTACTTGCACTGGGTAAAAGCTTAATTAAAAAATGATATAGCTTGTAAATGGTGGAGAAAAAATATAAAAGAAAGCAAGAAATGACTCTTTTCCTCTTTGTAAATCTGTATTTAAATTAGCTGAATTTTATATAATATTTTGGAATAGCACTTCAAATAATGTATTTGTAATTCATTTATAAGCAGATGGTAAAGTATTGTAAGCAGTATTATTAAGATATCTATTAGTAGCCAGTGTTAATATGATACAGGAATAGTAAAATATATATCATTATGTTAACAAAGGACAAACACTTTATGATAGAACTTTTCAGCTTTTAGCTATTTATGTCACAGTTGAGCAGGCTTTTATGAGCAATGTCTAGTGAAAAGGAAGGAAATTTGTAATACCTAAGAAATTATATATAGAAATTATATATAGTTTTTA